GATTTCGGCCAAAGCTTTAACGAACGTAATCAGCAATAATAATCTCTGCACGAGGAATTTTGGCAATAAGTTGTTTAACAGGTTGAGAAACCTGCAAGCATGGGCGGAATCGCAGGGTTTGGAATTGGCGGCCGAGTGCCATTTAGCCAAAATAGTGCAATGCGCGCATTTGTTGCAATCGCCTAAGACTACGCCCGAGGATTTGGCCAATTTGCCTTCTGCTTGCTTCAAATTGAATTCCATGCAGTTGGGAGCTCTACTAATGCAATACAAAGGTAAGTCAATGAGAAAATAAAGCTTTTAGGTTAATTAACTGCCTTATATGGATAAACAATATAGGAAATGCTTTTACTTAAGTAAATGCCTTAAGGGATTTGCTTTCATTTTATGCACAGAAATTTACTATATAAATTAGGTACATTTGTTCAAGTTTTCAAGTTTTATTTACACGGAGCACCAGCAATAATTATTGTTCTATTTATTTAAGTTTGTTTTACTAAATTAATTAAATAATGCTATCTATCTAACTATCGCATTTAAAACCTATATATTATTTTTATATATATATTTTATCCCAATAATTGCAAGCTTTATTAAAAACAAAATTGTACTTGATGAGGTTATGTACTATGCTCCACACCCACAAGTCCCACCACGTGACTGATACAAATAATTAAGTGTAAAGCTAATTTAGTCTTATTTTTATTTTTTGTGTTTTTAATTACCTTTATACACAAAAAATAACTAATATATCTCTTTGCATTATTTTTAGAAAATGAGACGAAAATAGCATGACACTGACGGAAAATTAACCTTAATTATAATTAATAATTATTTGTATCAAAGTCACGTGGTGGGACTTTTGGTTGTGGACCATAGTACTATCGCTAACAAAAAAAACTCATACAGCTTAAAAATCTAGTGTTCCTGATTTTCTATCATTTCGTTGGAGTAATTATGGCTTTTAACATGATACGTCACATTTGAAAGGTCTAAAATTAAATACAAAGTTAGGTTGAAGTTTGAAAAAAAAATAATATTTCGTCATCCCTCTGTTTTTGTCAATTACTGCCCGCAAACGGCAAAGCATGGAAGTCGCCGTCTTGCTTTATCTCGTTCCAAATGGCTTTAATGGCTTGCCAGAGTTCGTCTGCATTGTTTGGTTAAAAATGTTAAAAAAGTCATAATGGATGTGACATAGCTCGATGTCAGCTTGACATTGACGGAAAAGTTTTATTCACACAGCCACAATATAGCTGTATGAGTTTTTTTTGTTAGCGATAGTACAGTGGCGAAAACGGAATTTCGAACATCAAAAAATCTCTCTCGAGAGTTCAATAAATTAAAAAATAATTCTTCAGAAAATTTCTGACAATAATTTTTCGAAATGTCTGTCGAATTATTTTCAATTTATTCTCACTCTTGTGATTTTAATGTTGAAAATATAAAATTTTTGTAAATTTTAAAATTGTTGTAAATTTTGGGAATTTTAAAAATTTTGGAAATTTGATCCACGTTATCGATATATCGTTTTTACTCGTCAAATAAAATCATTTGATACCCAAATCAAGGAGTTTGTAAAGAAATAGGCACTCCATCTTACGGAGGCCGATTTATTTCCATCTCTCTCTTACTTACGCCAGCCACTAATTTCTTACGCCAAAAACATAAGAATGTGATTCCTTCTATGCACTATTGTTTATCGGCGAAAAAAAATAATTTTAAAAAAGTTTTTATTTTTGGTAATTTTGTGATGGCAATTTGTAAAAACACTTTAAACCAATAGGTTTTAGATTACTTCTGTTTTAACTTTATGAATGCTCAAAGTAGTATGCTTTTAACAGTAAATTTTGCTAAAAATAACGCTTATATCAAATGCCTCAAATTTTGTAAACGATCTGAAAAAGTACTTTTATCTCAATATGTGTAAAGTAACTTTTTTGATTAAAAAACGACCATTTTAATAGTCAATTAAATTTTAATTTTTTATAAATAAATATGTAAATAAAAAAAATATTTAACTATTATCTTTTGTTACCTTTGTAACATCAAAAATATTTAACTATTATCTTTGTTACCTTTGTAACATCAAATTGTTCAGTAAGCTTTCATTTATAAGTTAACAACTCCACTTCTTTTTTTTGCACTTGTATCCTTTTGCTTCTTACCCCTTCATATAGTCTATATTTAAGACATGTTTTTAAAGTAATAATTTTCACGGGATTATATAACATCCTTACATTTTTAAATGCTTAAATTGGGTAAACATTTAAGGATTTTATTAAGTTACTTTTTAATCCTGTACAAATCCTTTTTTTTTTTCATTGAAACATTATCATATATAATTTAAAATTGTAAAACAATTTGTAATTTTAATTTAAATGTATTAATAATGTATTAACTGTGAATATTTTAACTAATATTTTAATCTTTTATAATTTTTTAATTAATAAAAAAATAAAAATTTCTATTTGTTAAATTAAACGTAATAAGACCCACTTAACACACTTAAAAAATATATAATCGTATAAAAAAAGTTTTGAATTACGGAGTAAAAAGAAATAAATATTTGAAATGCAAAAGTTATGGAATTATTTCCAAAAAAAAGTTATTTTCAACCATAATGCGCATTCGTCAAATACGCATGACTTACTCTTAACGCAGAGCCATAGCATATACACATACAAATATTTAAATAATAAACTTTTTTGCAGGAGAACCTGGTGAAAAGATCGCATCTCCATCCCTTCTCGAACAAGCGGCCAAGGCGGCCGAAAACGTGGCCGACGAGCTCGCGAGAGCCGAAGGTCGCGAAGTGACCCTGTACGAAGATCCGGTTCCGGCGCTGCAGCTTCTGCTGCCCGACGACGGTTTCAGCTGCGACGTTGTGCAAGGCGTTCCTCCCGGTCTTGCCGACTTCTTGCACCCGCTCCAAGCTTCGGGATTGTGCAGATTGGCCGCTCAGCCTACTAGCTCTGGACACTGGACGGTTTACATGTCTGCGCCCAGGCCTCCCAGTGCTTTGAGTACCACACAACCAGAGGTAAGAATAGTATATTTTTAGCAAAATAAATTTATATACAATATTGGCCATAATTATTGCAACAATTGTTAACTGTAAAAAAATCTACATCTAAACTTTATTAATAACCTTTATTAATCTTTATAAAATGTTGGATTAAAATACTTCAAGTTATGTCTCAGTTTACGTATTGGAGGGTTTTTCGAGAAATTTTTTTAAAGCCCTTTTATATAATAATGAAAAAACGTTCGAAAAATAACTTTTAGGTGAATTTTTTTAAAGTATATAAAAATATGCTTTTAAAGACCTTATTTTTGTTAGTATACCCTGAAAATTTTGTACAAAACAAACGAACAGTAACGAAGATACAGCGCTTCAAAGTCGGTAAAAATGGCCCCTTCTTGATTATTTTGCTGAAAAGTCATTTTTGACGACTTTGAATCGCTGTATATGTTCGTTTAATAATGTAATGTTGCGAGGTCTAGTGATTTAATAAAAACTTTTTATTCTTGTATGTCTTTTTTGCTAATAGCATATACAGGTTTTTTTTTTCGAGGCCAAGCATGAGTAAGTTGACTATCGTATCTCTGCAGTTTTTAGTTTATAAAGCTATCAAAAAGATTTTGGTAGATTATAATTCCCCTCTGAAAAATTTTTGTTTTGGATCATTGATCGGAGCAACTTTTTTAAATTTAACCAACTACTCCAATATTTGAACATTCGATTATTTAAATATTCGAATATTTCAAAACTCGAATGTTCGAGTTACTCGAATATTCGTGTATTCGAATCATTTTTAATCGATTTTCACCTCTATTTAAATACCAATTTTTCGTAATCGATTTCCAGCCTTAATATTTTCCGATTTAAGAATCATCAAAAACACATCATTTTTAGATTAGGTTTCTTTTTAAAATGATATTTTACACTTAAATTGGGAAAAATTTAGGATAGAACTGTCATGCAAATGTTAAATTTTATAATAGTATATGAGGGGCGACTATAATGATCTTAAAAATTGAGAAAAGTAAGGTTAAAAACATCTGACACATGTATTAAATTAGTTGCAGCCAAAATTCGTCAAAAAAATAAGTGAAAAAAGTTGTCATATTTAGTATACACTAGGCAGTGTACAATAGCCAAATTAGCAAGTTCTGCCATTTCATCCGATACAGTGTTGTGTACGGAACCGGCAAAACTAGCCAATTCGGCTATTATTCGGTAATTCCGACAAAATCCAAGCAATTGTATGAAGAATCATTGAATATGGTTATAAATGTTAAGTGAAATTTTGAGAAGAGCAACAAGCAGTGAAGTTATTTGTTGTACTATATACATTGCCTTGAAGATAAAACGTCCCAAAATGTCTTTTGGTGGTTTGCTCAATTGTAGGCCTTCGCTACGACATAAATAACTATTATGCGTTTTGGTTTTTATGTAAACTTAAAATTAAATTTATAATTAACGAGTTTCTTTTACGAATAAGAAACTGTAGTTATGATCCATAAATATCTATTATTATTATTAAGAAACTGTATAAGAAACTCGTTATTTATAAATTTAATTTTAAGTTTACATATAAAAAGCAAAACGTATAATAGTTATTTATGTTATTAAGCTAAAAAGGGAGTCTTGGTTAAAGAAAATATGTAGAAACTTTTAAAGAAATAATAAATAATAATAATAATATTAAATTTAATTAATTAAATTAATTAAATTCAAGTAAAAATTATATTATTTTTCATAATATGGAAACATATTATGTTCAAACTAAAACGTGCATAAAAAAGCTGAGGGCTAGTTTTTTTGAATGAAGCGGTTTAGATTTAATCTAATTTTATGAAATTTAATTTTCATAAATGGTATTTATTAAGACCACAAAAATTTAAAACTTTCCTTATTTACAAAATATGTTAATACATATAATTTCTAGTTAATAATGTTGGGTTGGGTTTTGAGTAAAAGTCTTGTATTATGGTGACAAATATGATGTTATTTACACTTAATTCTAAAACAATTAATATTGATGATGGCTTGGTAAGAGTGTACATTTAGTAAGGAGCTCCGTATGAGCTGGATGGACTGGAAGCTGGTCCGCTTGAATACCCAGAGAAACCGTGTCCAGCCTCTTGAGTTTGTTGATGGAATTGGGCTACTTGCATAGCTTGCTTAATTCCTTCAAGATCGATTCCTACAACGCGGGCACTGTAGCCACCTGGAGCTCCATAGGAAGAAGATGGCACTCCGTATTGTGGAGATGGGGCTCCGTGGAAAGAACTGATCGAACTAGAAGAAGAAGCAGAAGCATGGTTCTGTTCTTCGTTCAAGAGGATTTGACGTACTTGTTCCAAAAGTTGTGGATCGACGGATGCTCCTTCAGAGGTCTGGTAACCGATAGGTTCGGAAGAGTAACTGCCGCCTCCCAACGAGTAGCCGCCGCCATGGGAGAATCCACCGTTGCCGCCTGGGCGGTTGTAATTGTACCCGGATGGGGGTTCGGCAACTGCGACGGCTGCTAGGGCGAAGGCGAGAACCTAAACAAAAATATATAAGCTTATTTATAATAATTAAAGGAGTCCTTTATTAAAATTAATGAATAAATTGATCGTTGGGACGATTTTCTCATTCCACATCAAATATTATTATTAAATTTTTGGAATTCCTGACCCGTTTTTTAGTACATTAGTATAATTATGTATTTATTTAAATATATATTTTTTTTATATGGAGTATTTTTTTGCTGAATACTTTGCCATAAAAGTTTAATTACACCCAAGCTAATTAAATCCATTTTTAGTAAAAATCCACTTGCATTTAACTTAAATTTTAAGTCAGTCACTTAGTAGGAACAACCAGTTCGACTTTAAGAACCAAGTTTCCATGATGTCACATTTTATAAAAATAAACAAATATCCATTAGGATTTTCACAGAATAGGCACGATAAAATCACCACAATTGTATCTCGAATCACTTAAATAATATCATTAAATCCACAAAACTTTTCTCGCGTAATCCAAAATCTGTAGTTGATTACTGTTGTTTTTTGTACCACTTACCACGGTGTATAAATTCATGTTGCTTGATCTGACTGGTCTAGTGTTGACTGTGCCAATTGCTAGACATTCTGTGTGTTTTATACTTGGCTGGATAGAGGGGCTTTCAATTGTAATGAAGAAGATATTTACTTTCACACATGTATCAAAGAGATGAACGGTACCGCGATGACGATGGTTCCTGCCAAATTTAATTGTGTGAATTGTGAATGTAACACAGTTTTTGCTTTTTAATGCATTATTTTCATATAACATTGCTTGTGAAGGTCTCATTGTATAACTAAATAAGCATCTATTTAGTAATATGCTAATTTAAAAAATACATTAATTGCGTTTCAGTGTTTTAAGTTTGTGTTTTTAAACAATTGAAATTGAGTTTATACCCTCAAATGCAATTAAATTGGTATTTATAGATAATAATAACAACATTTTTTGGGTCTTAATAACCAACTTATGATATGAAAAGCTGCTTGTATGTATTTATAAAGAAAATAATTTAATATAAATAATATTACTTTAAAAATTATATCAAGTGGAATGAGAACACAAAAAAAAATTGAATTTATATATGGATAGATAGATAATAAATAAACTTGCAAAGATAAGATTAAGGAAATACCTTAATAAATTATATAATTTGAATCAGTTCTTTAAATTTAAATTCTAGTGAAACCATTTTTTATGAATGTGAGTAATAATTTCAAATGTATATGCGGGTTTTACCCACAGAAATATTACAAAATAATATTCAAAAAAAACTTCAAATACGTATATTCGCACCGTCTTGCATACAAAAAAAATATATAAATTAATTAATAATTAGGAATTCCATATTTGGGTAAACAAATAAAAAATTACATTCTATATATAGGTAGGTACGTTTTATTTAGACAAGGTTGACGACCTAATTTTTTATTATTTGTGTTTAATACGAATTTGTTAATCCATTAACTGATTAAAAAATATTATTGATTACCAACATACTCATTACTCATAAAGGGTTGAATAATGCATAAAACTACATTTATTTACAAGTATGTTGGAAAATATTTAGGTATTCAAAACTTTAACTCATTTAAATAAATGGCAAAAATAATAATAGTTATTTAATAAATAATAATTATGTAATAAGGCTGAGAAGCGAGTCTTTTTGTGCTGAGCTCAAAGTTTTTATTTGTTAAAAGATACATAAAACGTACTTATTATAATTATAATAAAAAATATTGAAATTTTAAAGTGAGGTTGGATAGCTGTCATCAGATATCGAATTTTTTTATTGGTCATAACAGGTTTTTTACTGACTAGGATGTAAAAAGGTCTAAATTATTATTTTTTTTTACTTAGCTGTTATTTTTTTATAACGCCTTGGATACGAGATATGTAAATGCATAATGGATAGCATTATTATTTTTAGTTTGTCAGTCATGAGATAACACCCTTGGCGCATAAATAGCTATTACAATAACTTTGTTGAAAAAATAGTGTCAACTTAAAGAGTTGAAAAAAAAAATTAGGATAGTCACGAATTATCGTATTTTTAAATTGATTGTGCAAGTTCAACATTAGTGCAAAATTTAAGTAAGCAAACTGAAGGAATAAAAAATTAATACTATTTATGTTTTTTCTAGGTCCAAGTAATCCGGCTTCACAAAGCTGGTGGAGGCATGGGCCTGTCCATAGTGGCTGCCAAGGGGGCAGGCCAAGAGCGGCTCGGCATCTACATAAAATCAGTAGTCCCTGGAGGAGCCGCAGATCGCGACGGTCGCCTAGCAGCTGGTGATCAACTGCTCACCGTAGACGGACAATCTCTTCTGGGAATCACCCAGGAAAAAGCGGCGGAGTTCTTGGTGAGAACCGGCAGCATCGTCACGTTGGAAGTGGCCAAAGGTGGAGCTGTCTATCATGGTTTGGCAACGTTGCTTCAGCAGCCCAGTCCTCAACCACACAGAGGTATGTTATGAGCTTTGTTGATTTTTTAAATTTAATTTAAGTGTTTTAATTTTTTTTCGAAACTTAAATAACTTAAACATCAATAGGGTATTGATATCTTAAATTGTATAAAACAATAATTAATACCTCATAATTTAAAATGTCAGGGAAATTTTCCCAAGGTAAGGGAATTATTACTAATTCAAATTAAAACAATATAGTTCCTAGACGAGCACAATGGATTATCTAGATTCTATTCATGATGTATGGCATATAACAATGCAAAATTTCCGGGATTATGTCTAGGATCCAAAACTTTTTTTTTCATAAGATTTAAATAAAAAAATAAACCAATTAAGTCCCTTTTAAACAGGGAATTCAGAGAAATTTAGTAAAAAAGTTACCTTTCTTAAAAACTTTAACTTAAAAATACAACTGCCTTTTAAATAAAAAAGGGGACATTTGAGTTAAAAATACAAATTGCTTTTTAAAATCGGGCACGTTTGACTTTTGAAATTGAAAAAAAATATTTATTGAATACTGGTTTTAAACCGAGTACCCCATAATTTTCTTTTTTAGTTACTTTATTAAGTTTAAATGATTTTAAATTTAATTTAACATCCTATAGAAAAATGTAAACCAATATACTATTTTAAGGCTAAATAATAGACCTATCCCCTAAATCGAATTTTTGGGTTGCGCGTGAGCGAAAAAGAAAGAAAGAACTAGATTTATAATATATTTTAGACTAAAAATATATAAATAAAAACTTTTTCTGACTTTTTAAAAACTTTATCAATACCTACTTTGTGTAAAACAGGCTTTTAAAGATATTTTAAACATCGAAAACTTCTGATAAATATGTATGATTTTATACTTACATTGTATAACAAAATTTTGTTTAATTTAGCAAAACCTTTGTGCTGCAAATGCCTTCGTAAATTCGGAAAGTATACTTAAGTACAAAAATTTAAATTTATGTATAGGTATGCTAGCGATAATTTCTTGCCTAAATTAAAGCTAGGTATATATTACATTTTATCTTTATATGCCAACTAAGCTAATATACCCCGTAGTAGAATAATTGCCATTAATAATATTGCTACCTGTATCTTTCCTCTATTTTAACATGCAGCCATGGATTTTTACTACGACCCATATGGTTTTCAAGGCTCTCAAGAGTCTTTATACAGCGTCAAACACTACCACATATTCACCCCACCGGTCACCAAGCCTAAAAACAACGTATTCTTTAACTCGGACGATAGCCTATTTAAAACAGAAAAACGTAAATTTACGATACCGAGAATCGAGATTGAAAGTGACGCCCCTGTTTTCAGTTTACATGTTACCGATTTTTCGGAACCGTCGCCAAAAAATATCACGTTAACGTACGATGAATCTGGCACAAACATGAATGAAGTGGAATTAAAGGAGGACATTAAACCGACGAAATCGTGGCGAGATAAAACGAATAATTTTATGCAACTGAAAAGTTACTCCATTGATATCCATGATAGTGATTTGGATATAGACCAGATTTGCGATACAGATAAATATTTAAGCATTGGCTCAAGAAAATACAAGCATAGACTATCTTCCACGTCACTGCAAGATCTATCCAGTTCAACTAGTAGTATTTGTAGTGCCATACACGAATCAAATTTGGATTTGAGCCAAATAGAATCGGACTCGATGATAAAACATAGAAACTGGAGGTCCCCGTTCGAAATACGTTACGGTCCCGAATACGTAAAGTACGAAAACAAGTCTATAAGTGTGCCGGCCTTAAACAAACGTAAATACGTCACAAGTCGCAGCAAAAGTGTGAGCGAGGAAAAATTAAACGACAAACTGTCGGAATACGAAAGACTGGAAATTGTTAAGTTACTGCAAGACTGGAGCCTAAACGGTTCCGAATCAAAGAGTGATTTTAATTTAAGGATTTCGAAGAGTAACGATGATTTAAGTAGCTTAGAGAAACGAGATTATATGGAGGATGAAAAAACCCCCAGGACCAATTTAAAACAGAGTAAAGTGAAATACAATTCTGAACCAAATTTATCACCAAACTCGAAAAGTAGAAGTATTTTCGATGATGTTGATGGTCCTATTATTATAGCAAAATATTGTTCTGACGATAATTTAAATAAGCAGAGGACCACTGATAATGATTTTTCCCACAAATGTCAATTTAGAAATTGTATATTTAATATAGATTTTACACCCAAAGAAGGGACCAAACCCAAAGAACAAGAGAAACCTAAGCCTAAGAGTATATTGAAGAACAGCAAGGAGCGCCTTGATGAAATCGATTGTCTAATTAACATTACCAACATACAAAAAACTCCTAAACTATTTACCAAGGAAAGTAGACGCTTTAGCGAGATACAAATAACCAACAAGTCTTTTAATAGTCAATTAGTTCGATGTGATAGTTTAGAACGCTTGACGCAGCTAAAAAATAATAATAACAACAACGAGCCCAAGAAGTTCCCCGAGTCGTACATAGTACGTCGAACGAACCAAAAATCGAAAACCAACAACGAGAACCGCTGCAACAGCGGATCTCCCAAATACGTCATGCGCAAAAAGTACGTACCCAAAACGTGGAAAAGTTGCTCGGACATCAAGACCAAAAAACCGTTGCGCAAATGTTGCCGCTACGCGAAAAAGTCCTGCCCCGTGCTGAAAAACAGCGCAGACTCACCTAAATCGCAGCGCAAGACGCAGAGCTGCGCGAACTTTGTCGCCGAAGACTCAGCTGCGCTCCGTCAGGATCAACCCGCTAGGTTAGCCGCATTAATGGATTACCATCTTCGCGCTTTTAATCGTAAGATTACGGTTAAATTTGTTGCGCACTATAGTTTATTGTTACCTACTTTATTTAACTATTTATATTTGTTATTTTTTACATTTTATTATGATTGCTTTTGCCTGTTGCTTATTTGTATAGGGTTTACATGATTTACTACAGATATGATATAAGGGAAACGCTATTAACATTATTATTAATGTCAAGAATCCAAGGATTATTTACATATATTATATACACAGACTTTAATAATTCTTTAATTTTTTTACAAAGATATACGCTCTTCTTCTCTTCTTTAAAGTCTTTTAAGATATCTTAAAAATTGAAAATTCAAATTCACAACAAAATTTTCTGTAAAATGTTAAATGTATCATTATTATATATTTTTAAATATTTTTGGTTATTTCAATAGTTTCTTAAACATTTTTAGTGTGTATGTTTTAGTCGTTTTATTTAATAATTGACCCAAAAAATAATAATAATAATAAATAATTCAAGATTAACTATAATGAAAACAAGAATTTTATTTAAAATATGTATTTTTTAAGTTTATAACTTAAAATCAATTGAGAATTATAAAATAAAACCAATTTTAATCTTTAAATTTATACAGGGTGCACCAATTATCATTCTATACATATATGTATGGGTATATTTTTTATGGGAAGGTTAAATTAGCAAAAGTTGCGTGATTACAAGCCTATTAAAATGGCATTTAAAAATTGGAAAAAAAATCAGAGGTTTTCAAATATTTTGTGAAAAACTGAAAACCTGTCTAAACCAAAAATCGTTATTCGTGGGAATTTTAAAAAAGAAAGTTTTCCATGTAAACATACTCATTTTTATACATTTTCATCCAATTTTTCATCCATGTTTTGTTTTTCCTATGGCAACCATATAGGAATTTTAAATGGTTAGATAGAAAAAAAATAAGGAATCAAAATAACACACGTTATGGCGGCCATAATAAAAACAAAAGATGTTGATGGTAACCCAAAACATAGTAGCAAAGAAATTTGATTGAAATGTAGATTAGTTTGTATGCTTAAATGTAAAACTTACTTTGTTTTAAAATTCTCAGGAATAACAAAATTATTATTGGATTTGAAAGGTTTTTAGTTTTTTTTTAATATATTTTTTTTATATACATATAATAAATTTTCTTTATATTTATAAATTTCAAGTTAATATTCTACAAGCTTTTTAAATAAAAAATAAAGAATAAACATAGAAGGATAAATTTGCCTGGAATATATTACTCAAGCGCGCTCTGACTTGTAAAAGCAAGTTGCCTTACTATCAGTATTTTTGTTTCCTCATCTTCAAATGTTGACAGTATAATTAAGAATATCCTACAAACAATTTAGGATTAAAAAGACGAAAAAAAAATTAATTTTGTATTTTAATAATGTATGTAGTAAATAATATCAAAATCCTTGATAAAATCATGTAATCTCTATAAATTTTCACCCATTTTGTACATAGTTTTGCTTACTCTCGTTATATTTTACTTATTAGGTTACCGTATTTTATAAACATGGTCCACAAAACACAATACTAATATTCTTGTTGTGATTTTTCCCTTAATACAGGTCCAAGACGGATGTCTGAACGCGACCTGCCCTCCCGTGTAGACTCCGAACGCACCATTCCCTCGTCGAAATCCGTTCCCGCCCTCCACCACATATCGCCGAACTCGGAACAGCCGCGAGTGAACGCGCACGACGCGTTCAATCCCGGCTACAGCCGAACTTCGTCGAACAACAGCATCAACACGAACGGAGCGCCGCCTGCGGCAGCTCAAAACGGACCGAACCCCGGTTTAAGGAGCAGATCGACGCATAACTTGCACCAGCAGGACGGCGGGTTCTATCAGAATTTGAGCGTTTATAGGAACAAGATTCCCAGCCCGCAGCAGCAATTGGGAGATAGGTATATTTTCAAGAAATATTTTTAGCGGTATTCAAACACGCAACCAGTGATGTAAACTGAAAAAATAACAGAGCGGTTTGTTTTTTGAAATCAAAGCGATCTGTTACTCATTATACTTAAGCTTAATTTTCATGTATCCCTTTGTCCGTTAGTCCGATTATTGGTTCAATTAATTCGAAAATTTTGACATTTCATCGGTCCCCCAAGTTTTAACTTCGTACGTCTGACGGAAAAAGTTAAAATAATTTTAACTCATCCGTCACTACACACATTCGTTTTTGACGCCTAACGTTATTTTAAGATAATTTATTTTTAAATATTTTAATATTGTTTTAATTATTTATTTATTTATTTATTGCTTAAACGGGAAAACCCCATTACAGTATAAACATTACATATAAAGGTTGTGTCTTGAAAAGAAGACAATTACAGTTAATCACTAAATTAAAAATAAGTAACAAATTCTTTAAACAGATAATTAACATTAATAATAAAAAAAATAACAATTCATTTATCCAATAGTTAACAATAATAATAACAAATACTAATTATAGGTATATCACTAAGTTAACAAATAATATTCAAATAGAGATCACAAGTTAAATTAATTCGATTAAAGCTCTCTTAAAGGAACGAAAAGAACCCCTAAATACATCCAGCCTTTCCTCCCTATTTAAAAAATTCAATGACCTCTCAAAAAAAAAATGTTTACCAAAATTGGTCCTATGATTTCTTATAAAAAATAAATTATTGTGTCTTAGTATTCTTTGTGGTGTAGTAAATTTAATTTGAGAGAGTAGAAATGGACTAGATATTATACCATTTAATAATTTATAAAGAACACAGATGTCGAACATAGTTCGTCTCTTTTCCAAGGAACATAAATCAAAATGAACTAATATATCAGAATAATCATGGTCAGCAATAATATTAAGGTTAAATTTAAAATTACAGTATCTCAAAAACTTGTGTTGAACTCTTTCCAGCAAATCCTTATACACATTGTATTGTGGAGACCAGATAACTGAACAATATTCAAGTTGAGATCTAACCAACCCTACAAATACCGATCTCACTGCATCTATAGAGAGACCTTGACAATTCCTCAATGTAAATCCCAACATTCTGCTAGCTTTCACAACTAGTTGATGTATGTGGTTGGAGAAACTTAAACGAGAGTCAAACAGTATTCCTAGATCCATACAATTATGATTGTAAAACGGAGTAAACGTTTGTTTAATATGTGAATAATGTTCTACTGTTATGACTTTATTTAATAAGAAGAACGGAAAAAAGAAAAGACAAACCAAAAAAATATTAAAACCAGAATTAAAAGGACCTGCTTTTCAAAACTATGCATTTTAATGTATATAAAGGCTAGTATATTCTTTTTATATGGTATATTTAAACTACCTTTAAATTTATTAGACAGATAACTGTTGAAGTTTCAATTGTTGACATAATTGTAACTATGACAATTAAGCATTAGGTAAATTTAGTGAGGTGAATATACTGGCCAGGGTGGAAGAAAGAGGTGATTAAATTGCGTCGTTGAAGGCGGCCAGATAAGTCAGTATTTGTTAAAAATCCAAAGAGATGTCGCCAAAAATAAGAACCTATTTATTTTTTTAAATCGCCTTTAAAAATATTGTATAATAGTATCTCAAATAAATAATTATATTATTATAAAGTTATTTAAAAAATATATTAAACAATTAATAAAATTATTTATATTTTTATACATAACCTTTATAATCTGTGATATTCTTTATCTTTATCTCTGCACTTTTCATTTGACTTTTCCGTTAATTGGCAGTTTAAAATTTCTGACCATTTTTGTCTATATTGTACATTTTTGGGCACTTGGAAAATACTTCTTTTTACTTTACGATTAGTAACATTGCACCCCGGAACACAACAAAAAATAATGTATAGTATTGATCAGGGTATTGATTAACCTCAAAACACAAAGCATTGACATTAAAAGAATATCCGTTAAAACGTCACTAATCGTTCTATCTCGCGCGCCATCTACTAGATGGCATCTAGCGCTTAATGAACGAAGTACTGGCTTATGTGGACTCTGCTTCTGTACTTTAGAAATAGAAGCTATCACCTCCTTATTCCACCCTTATACTGGCCCTTAATTTCTATTTGTCGCCAAATCAATCCGTTAAACGTCATTAAAAGACGGATGCATGAAAATTAAAAAAAATCTTGTCGGACGATTTTATTGAAAAACTGATAAGCTTTATTCGTAAGAAAAGGGTATACCCCGGAAATAGTTGCAGCAGATTAGGACAGAAGACGCTGTTGTTTGTTTTGTCCTCATACTTCTACACATATACCGCTTATTCGCTATATTTTGTATGGATTACCTTGTTTTTTTTTTTGAGGAAAAATTTGTCAATTTTACCTTATGCGCATAGTCAGTTCATAAGTGGGGGATTCAAAATATATCATACGGTATGTCTATGGTATGATTCAAACCATAGACATAGTAATACGGCCACGTATGTCAACTAAATAAAATTTAGGTTATATCACAATCCACACAATAATTGTTGTGGGTTATATCAAATTTTTTTGTAAATCATTTGCTTACATTGCCTAAGTCAACCTTACATACATTTCTGTGGTTTGGCTTTATAAAAAGCAAAAAGTGGCATAATTAGGTAAAAACCACTAAAAATCTCCTAAACACAATAAACAAAAACAATGCCTAAACAATTGGTATACAACAGAAAACAAATAAAATGTTTAATTATAAAAACCATCTACATTAGTATGTCTATGATAAAAACTTTTTGGCTATCGTGGTACAAATAAGACGTTGCCAATTCTTCCTGTTATAAACATGCCATTATAAAATCTAAAATATCATCATTTTGTTTGTTTATTAATATTAAAAGTGTTTTTTTCATACAATTTATATACAGTTTATTAAAAAGTATTAATTATACTTCCCAAATAAGGACAAAAATATGGTATTTTTTTTAAACCGGCAATGACACCACGCATGCGCCTCTATGCATGCTCCGTGTGATTCTCACTTCCGCTACTTTAACACCACGAAATGAAAACTCTCATTTAGAAATTACTTGTATATGTGTGGAAGTATGTGGTTTTGTCGTGCGGTTTAAATTCATCTCGTGGAAGTCTCTGGTGGAAACATAAGCACAAAACCCCGTATTTTCCGAAAGTTAACAGTGCTAAAAACTAAAACTGTGCAGCTAAGCTGTCTTGCGTCTTTGGTCCAACCTTGGAGTTCGTATGCTACTATGGGGCGATTCCATGATTACTAACGGGACAAAAAGAAAGAAGGCAAAATGTTTTATGAATATTTTTGAAGATATGTTGTTCCTATAACAATAATTTTATGATAGTTATTATTACTTAATTTCATTGCCATATGGTTTCAAAAGGAATTTGCAATTGCCGGAACAATTTGATTTTTAAGTAGCTCCAGATACTTTTGCCAATTAAGTTTACTACCAATAATAAATCGTCGGTTTTAGGAATTGTGACGACTAATGAAAAAGTTGTCTCATCCCGGATGAGACAACTTTTTCATTAGTCGTCCGTAAAAAGGATGTTTGGGATGAAATTATCATATTCGTAAAATTCCATGCAGCGATCTGTGTCGCCTAGGTGTTGCTCGTCGCCCATAGAGAAACAAACACAAAAGAGTGCCCGGTTTCTGTTAGAAATGGGGAACATAATTACGGTGGCGGATCTGTGTCGCCTAGGTGTTGCTCGTCGCCCATAGAGAAACAAACACAAAAGAGTGCCCGGTTTCTGTTAGAAATGGGGAACATAATTACGGTGGCGGATCTAGTGGCTACCGGAAGAATCATCTTAAAGCGCGGTACATTCAAATTTAAAAATCTTAAATGATTGTTGTTTTTTTCTATATTAACTAAATAATTATTCTGCACTTGGAAATGTATTTCAATTAGCAGCATTAAATCCAAGAAATATCAAGCACGGCAGCCAAATACAACAAAAAAGTTTGCATAAACACAAGCAGGCCACTTATACCCAGGAACTTAACTAGCCATTATTAGTTACTGAGTAGATCAGTCCCACTACAATCATTCACGGTGGATTTTTAGGGTCAATTTTCGGATCATCAGGCAACCACGATTTTTTTTCATAAATCGATTATATGCCTGTTATAGACAAAAAATACCAAAAATAAAAAAAATCTCTCGGTTTTTTTGTTATTTCTTAAGAAAAATATAATATAAATGGGTCTAATTTTACTTTTTTGGTTATTTTGCAAAAAGTATCAATTTTATCGAAATTCTGTTTTAACAGTGATATAGAATATTAAATTTTCTACAAAAAAGGTTATACGCATTATCTTTGTAATATATATATTTTAGGAGTAATATCTGTATACCATTATTAATACTGGTTTAAAATATAAATTTTAACCTTTATTTTCTTTGTTTTAGAACGTCTGCTCTGAGAAGCTCACAGAACTCCTTGCAATCCTCCGTAGCGAACTCGCAACGGCCATCTTCCGCCTATTATCCACCACCTGTAGCACCAAACCCATCTCGCCCGAACCTACACCAATCCATACCGAACTTGAAAAGTCCGCCGGCCGCGCATCGCCTGCACAACGAAGAAAACCGCTCGGGCTCCTATCCGAGCGTGAACCACGCCGCCAACCAACCGGCCTACGCGCCCAACTACAGCACCTACCACGGCCAGAATCCGAGCAGTTTCTATCAGAGCAACAACTCGTATCCGAGTCCGACGTCGAGCACGACGCCTAGCTACAACAACGTGCAGCAGCCTTTGCACATCAACGCCAACGGTCAGCGACCGGACGAGAGGTACGCGAACAATCCGAGTGGCGGCGGTTTGCTGAGAGAGGATGTTTTCAGGCAGTCTCAGAACGCGAGGCACGAAGAATTGTTGAGGTATCCGAGCTCGAATAACGTTAGGATATCGGAGGCGCAGATACAACAAAGTCGAGTACAGGTAAGAATTACATCTCTGCTACATTTTAAG